AAAACGTCGCTAAAAAATAGACTTCGCATCCTTTCACTTTTTTTTTCACGATTTTTCTAAGGGTCCAGTTACTTAAAGAGGGGAATTTGGGTTGGAGCTGTAGAGAAGGGACCACGGCCTAGTTCAAACACGGGTGGAAGAATTTATCGCCTTGCCGTTTCCGTTCCCAAATAAACTTAAATTTGGTCATTTCACATAATAGTTGTGCAGGGAATGCAAAGAAATGTACAAAAAAGCGTGATGCAAGTGCAAAGTTGTTTTGCACATTAAAGCTATTGCTTTTTTGACGCTCCCGTTGCCGTCGCCGTCGTAGTTTCGTACGGTCCGGCTATACGACTATTGTTTCTATTAAAAGTACGTTATAAATTAGACCGCATTAGTATAGTTCACGGCCTCACAATAATTGTAGGATAATATAGAAAAGACAAAATTTACAGTGAATAAATCTGCTATTCCTAATAATCCCGTAAGTAAGCTTTTTTACCAATTTTATCCCTAAATCGTATTTACAATTTGATAGTAAAATAAGTAAACACACTCGGGGGCCGGAGTTACCTTAATATATACGTAACGGTTGTGTTACATATTGTCCAATATTGAGTGGACGGTCGAATAACCTGTAGCAAGGCATTGCAATAAAGGAAGTATTCCGATAATTTGGAACGGCGGACGACTCCATTATTTATGACCTTCGCCGTTCTCGATCTCCTTTAGGGCGGTTCTAGGGCCAATAGCACGGTTTTAATCTGGGTTTGTTTTTTCGTACCGTTAACTTATGACTAAATTCGCATAGCTTCACAAAAAGCTGTCTTAATTCCTTGTGTTTCATGTCCGTACGTATTTTTTTCCAAAGTGGGCTATCGAAACATTTGGTTGACAGATAAAAAGGGAAAGAAATTGGACATGGAGAAAATGGATAAACGTAATGTTAACAGTGAGAATTTGTAGACAAGTATGTTTCCATTGCAAATCTACATATACAGCAGCAGTGAAGTTAAGTTAGATCCAGTTACCAGATTAACTTAGTAGTCTTATAGGTGTTAAAACAAAGCTCTCCCTCGATCGCCTTTGTCAGTATTATTTATGAAAGGAGTACAATGTTTACTCACAAGTTGGCAAGTGTAAAGCTATAAGGACATGCATGAAGGAGAATCAGACTCTTGAAAGAATAGAGTGGAGTGGAGTAGAACACAACCGGAATAGAATAGAATACCAACAGAATCATAGTTAATTGAGTGGAATGGTTATGAAACCCGTCAGACTCCTTTGTTATATGTTTTTGTGGACCTGAAAGTGCACAACATTCAAAAGAATTCCTATTATTTTGATTGTATTGACCAATAAAAACGTTGCATTAATTTATTCCGTAACAATTTGCCAACAGAAAACAAAGGATTGTGCACTTCCACGGTGCTTTGAACATAAACTGCAGCACTGTTGTTTTTATCATTGATGTTTGCCGCTTTTCATAACCAGTCTCCTCTAATAACTATGACAGAATAGAATAAAACCCGGCGGATAACAAAATTTAGTTCTCACTTAAAAGAAAGTGAATTAAGCGTATATAGGTATTTTCGTGAGTGCCAAAACCTGCTTAGAGTTGATATGGAAATGAGTCTATTGTTTTTGGTCTTTGTGTAATAAACTTAGGTTTTAAAAACATCCGACGCCAAACAGGAGGGCATTTTGCATGCGCATGCGTGCATCCACTGAACGACAACAGCGTGGGCGCATCAAATCTGATGGCGGGAAATCGAAAACTCGCGTAAAGGTACGGTCCTTTTAAAAGCCATTTCGTTGGTGCTTTGAATACCGTACTTTACTACAAAAAATATTCTCCATGACAAAAATCGGACGTTTTCTACGCGGGTTTTGCACTTGTAGATTTTTCAGCAGGAGGTTTTCTTGGCCCTTTAAAGTTTTTCAAGACTCAACGCCAAAAAGTCATGTTCCTGTATAAGTCGAATTTTCACTGGCAAAGCAATGCATTTCTATGGTTTGATTTCCAAACTCGTGGTTTTACTTATCAAGGGGGAAATGCATCGTAGCAATGTTCAGCTGTTTTACATGTAAGACCAAAAGCGCAAAAAAATTTACCACGCGAGGTTTATTTATATTAGCGCGATGTCTCATATTAAACTGATCACGGAGACACGCGTTTATATATGCCACAAAAACATGAAATCTGTGGGATTTTTTACAGTTTTTCGAAAGTTTTTGCGGAAAATTTTATAAAAAATATTCTACAAGAAATGAACTTAGAATGGATTTAGTTTGAGACAGCAACAATTACAAGTGATTATGTACTACATAAGTACTTGAGCATTTCATAAGCTCAGTTGCAGACAAAACGAATGCACATACCCCACAAAAACGAACAATACTTTTATTTTTCTTTAACTCTAAAAGATACAGAGATTGTTCCCAAGCTCCTATTTTTAAGCGACTCTTGAGTAACAGCTCTTGTGTTCCATAATCGATTTTTTGTTATTTATCTATATTTAATGACAGTAGTGATCCATTCAAAACAGAGAATGGCCATCACTCCATAAATCTAACTGACGATGTTGTTCACCTTCAAAGCCTGTTTAAACATAAGACAGGAAGTTTGTTAAAGGGGTGCATGTAATGGTGTTTCCTCAAAAAATAAATGCTACTGCTAGAGGATCCAAATGAGCTGGGATGCGCCAACAAACATTACACAAATGGATGGAGTGAATTTGTCTGTTAGTAATATTTCTGTTGGGAGCTTTTTACTGTATCCAGATGAACCCCTTATGTAAATTGTACATCATGGAAGAATTATATAGCAGAAACTGATGCATTACACAAGAATGTGGTTCAATACAGAGGAGAAGCTGTTCTCATTCAACATCATTTGTGAATGAAATGTCTCACAAATTAGCATATCGACAAATGTAGTATCCACAAATGGTATCATTTACGAATAAATGCAATTTTTTTGCGACAGAGGCCAGGATTTATTTAAAAGGTGTATTGATAACGTTTCATTTCGTAATATTTTGGGGTTGGGGAGTTAGGCTAGATTTTCTTTAAAACGCCAAAGTGTTATATTTATTTGCATAATGAAATGTAAACAAACATTGTACCATCAAAATAAGGTGGAAAAAATTCAAACCGATTGCTGTAATTTTTTTCCTTTGTATAACTAAATGATAGAACATTCTTATTTTCAATTTCAAAACACAATCTTACTGGCATCATTACATTGATTTAAATTTATAGTTGAAGTGCGTGTATTTTATTTCTCAACGAAGACGTACCGGTGAAAAAAGCTAAAATTACTACAGAAGGAGATTTTTCACAGCCTTCATCAAAGCGCCATTTATTCGCGGAAGTATTCTTAGTTTCATTAATCATTAACTTAATTTGGGGAGAAAGGCAAGATTTCGAGATAAACAAGCCAGCGAAAGGGTGAAAAACAGTTTCACTGCAGAATGGACACTTAATTAACCACTGTATTCGTGAAACGATTATGTTCGATTTTAGAGTTACACTATTGAGAAGAATTAAGTGTCTCTAGGATAATTGTTTAACGAAAAATTAGCATACTGACCTTTTCCCCCTACTCAAAAATTGTGCACGAACGGTTAGGTTGCAAGAACATTCAGCCGCCATCTTGTCTTCGATGCACTGTTTTACGAAAGGAAAGACTGTCCTCTCAAGGGCGACAGCGAGGCTACAATAAACTCACTTTCATCCTAGTAATACCACGATACCATAAAGAACATGCTTGTGGAACGTAGCACCCAATACACGTCATTCAGGTCCAGAAAACAGCCTGCAAATGCTGGTACTGAACGTAAACAATTCCAATAAAATGCCTCTGTGGCACTTCAACAGCCCATATTGACGTATGCGCATACAAAATGCCCTCCTGTTCTTTCTTTCATGCGAGTTTCAGTTGTAGCTTCGCGACTAGCATTCCTCTAATTTATGACAACAGAGCCTTTTCGATATACGACAAACTTTTTAGAATATAGGGCATCAATATTATTTTCCCGAAAATTATGATGTAATTTGACCCTTTAAGAAGGTAAAAAATTTTCTGATGCCTCTCTTCATCATATTTTCGACCAATCCGAAAATTTTCGATTTAAATAGATAGATAGATAGATAGATAGATAGATAGATAGATAGATAGATACATAGATACATAGATAGATAGATAGATGATAGATGATAGATAGATAGATGGATACTTTTTTAAAATGAGGGTTTCACCTAACATCCACAGATAATATACGCGTGGCAATCAACCAAAATTTAAGCATAAAAAATGAAACAAAAATTAAGTAATGAATAAATAAACAAAATCAAGAAAGTCCTACTTACAAACAATAGTTACAAATATTATGGTCATAGAAGGTACGTTTTAAGTTTCAGCGAAAATGTACTGAGGGACTGGGCCTCTTTAATGTCTTTTGGGAGTTCTCTCCAGCTCCTAGCTGATCAAAACCTGTGGGCATGGCCATTTTTGGCCATTCTAGTCCTCACCTTTGGTAGTATCAAATTGTGCTTTGCGTTTCTGGTGCCCACAGTATGAGTGTCCGACTGGACATTGTAAACATAGCTCTTAATGTAATTTGGTGCGAGATTGTTGAGGGCCTTAAAAACTAAGTTATTCCGCAAGTACTTCAGTCTTTCATCAAATGGCAAGATATTCAGCTCTTTGAATAGAGGTCTCGAGGGAGTGTACCATTTTTTGTCCAGGATTATTCTGGCGCATCTTTTCTGCAATTTGACAATATTGTGGACGTGCTGTTTGTTATTGGATCCCCAGACAACCGACCCCTAGTCAAGTAATGGCTGGATAATTGAGTTATAGAACAGGGTTCTTGCTTTTAGGGAAAGAAATTCAGTCTTTGTCCTTTTCAGCAGGTCAATTCGCGTCCCTATTTGTTCTTTACCGTGAACCATACGGTTTCCCCAGGTTGAGCAGTTGTCTAACTTTATGCCAAGTAGTTTACTTCCCCTGACTACAGAATCATGTTGGCTTTTATCGTTTTAAGATTTTCACCGTCCAAGCCTCGAAACTTCGGCTTGGTGCAGACAATTATTGACTTTGTCTTGCTGTGGTTTAAAACCATGTTGTTTTCATCGGCTCGTCTGCTTAGAAGCCTCAGTTCACGAGTGAAGATGGTCTCTACCCCTTCAACAGTACGTCCAAATGCAACTTGTGTTGTATCATCAGCGTAAATTTTGACAGTACTTTTGGAAACGTCCAGTGGCAGGTCCCCCCTTGACGAAAAGTATAAATAATAGGGGACCGAGGATTGAGCCTTGAGGCACCCCAGCCGTAATAGATTGAGGAGACGATAGTCGTCTTTGTATCATGACCTTCTGCTTACGGTCGTTAAGATATCAGTTGAACCATTGGAGTGATCTACCCGAGACTCCATAGATGGAGAGTTTCTTTAACAGTGTGGCTTGGCCAATCAAGTCAAAAGCCTTGCGGTAATCAGTAAGATTTAAGCCAGATATTAGTCCTTTATCCATGTTGGTAACTAAGCTGCCTGTTAGCTTTATCAAAGCTGTATCACAAGAGTGGTACGGACGGAATCCTGACTGGTGGATACTCAGAGGATTGTGTTTGGTGAGGTGCTCATATATTGAGAGATATACATATCTGTCGAGTACCTTAGAAAGGATGGATAAAATGCTGATTGGACGATGGTTATCCACAATCAGTCGGTCTCCAGCCTTATAGACACGACAGACTCTAGCTTCTTTCCAACACACCAGAAATTTCCCAGTATTGATACTCAGATTGATGACCTTTGTCAAGGAAGACGTTATAGCAGGAGTACGCAACAATTGAGCACTGATACCATCAAGGCCTGTTGCTTTGCCGACTTGGGTTTGCTGAGATAATTTTGACCAAATTCCTACGTGATCTCTGGTATTTTAAACTTGTTTTCGCCGGTAATTGTGTTATTTATGAATTCTTTTAGCTTCACAAAGTTTGGTGCTGAAACCGCATCTGCATCAGTCCCTTTCCTTTAGGTAGTGGCCCATCACCAGAAATTTCGAATCGATATGCGCAGTGACAGGCGACACTTAGAAAATATCAATGCATTTTTCATTACAGAGAAATGACTGAGAAAAGATCCAAAATAGAAAAAACAACAACAACAACAGCAACAAACTGTCCTAGAGGCATTAGAGTTCGCCTACATCGCATCAATTCCATTAGTATTTTTGTTAAACTAAATGAATCTGCATTTTTACATACCTTGCTACTTTTATCCGTTTCGGTAAACAGATTTGCAAATTGACTGTAAGGATTTGTATGGCTGTCGGCGATAAAACACCGAAACAGAGCCGAGTTAAAGTGTTCCAGTTCGCGTCCAAGTTCGTACAACCACTTTGCATCGGTTTTGCGAGTTAAAAATGCTTACTTTGAGGTCCAGTTACATTTTGCACTACCAGATTGAAATTTCCTTTGGTTTTTAACTTTGAAAACGCCGTAAATTTCAGTATGGACTCCACGGTGAAATTTCCGGATACTCACTTTTTAATATCTCGGCTAAAAAAAGTCCAAATTTCATGCAAAACCTCTCGTTCGAGAGACAATTTCTTGCATTTTGAACACATTTCAGAATAATTGACATTAGTATTTACCAAATCAGTGAATAGCAATTTTTGCGCGTTTTGATTGGCTCCCATAACTCGGAATATCCTTGGCTATTCATTGTTTTGCGACCGGAACCAAGATAGCGTCTGGTTTCGAGATATTTTCGGTAGACGAAATCTGTGCCATAAATGAAGCCAAACAAATAACAAGAAAGCGACGAACTTAAGCTTGTTGGTGTTCACGGGGAGGTAGAAAATTATTTACATGCTGAATTTGCAACAAAATAAAAAAAAGCACTTGACAGAAACCCCAAATTGTTTGTAAATTGTAAACAAAGTGACGTTTTTAATTTACAAAAAGTTACTTTTTTTCAGTTTTATCCAGTATATGCCCCAACGCTACGCGCCTCGGTGTATCCACCCACCACTATTCACCTCCCCTTCGGAGGATAGTTTTACAGTATTTTCGTTCAGCGGTTCCTTTTTGACTGTAAATACGCTCTTGTTTGTGTAGCCCGTACTCGGCCGGATCTAACAGGGGCTTAGCCCATTAAAGAAACACATTCATATGATTAGAACGAAAATTTTGGTCAGAAGTAAAGAATTTATTAAAGGTGTTTGCCATTGCATACAGCTCATTGATGATGTTATCAATATTTTCCTTTTTCCACGAGCAATGGCTAAACCTGGGGAGTGACAAGTGAAAAAATCAAGTCAGAAAATAATAGTCAAATTTTTTCGAAAAGCTTCGAAAATTCCACATGAATGGAACCGGGGGGGGGGGGGG